GGCTCATGTCTTTTGCATAATAGACTATAATTTTTTATTTTAGTTTTTCTAAAACCTGCCCTGTCTGTTCCTCTTACATTGCTGCCCATATTAGCTGATTATATAGTCTCCACTCACCTTGAATAGATTATTCTCTCACTTCTTGTTGTGGCTATCGGACAGGAAGTGATTGGAAATCTTCCCTCATGGGACACAGATGGTGCAAAAACTGACAGGAATTTGTAACCCTCCCCTACTCCAGCTAAAACAAAACAAAAAAACCTTTTGACCAGTTCTACTTTAATGCTGTCATAAAGCAAGATCTGCTTATTTAATTAGAGCCACCAGCCAACACGCTGCATTAAAGTGTGAAACAAAAGTGTGAAAAGGGTCTCCTGGATGTTGTGTTTTAGCAGATGGTCTGTTTTAGGTAAGAATGTGTTTGGAGTAAGTGTGAATGTCCCGACCTTACGTCTGGCCTTGGGTGACTAAGACTATGTGTATTTGTTTGTCCAGATAAGAAAAGTGTCCAATAAGTGACTGAATAGCTTTGTGAATGGCACCCACTGTGCAGGAATTCATTGTGGAGCTGGTTAAAAGTAAACCAAACCTGCAAACATGGTGTATGAATATAGTGTTTGCTTGGGTCTATCAAATACCATAAGATAACACTGAGTGCACAGACAAGGCAGTGTGCATCCCCCTTTTCAGTAGTGATAATCAGACATCCCAACCTGCAAAACCTTATTTCAGGGAGGTGCCCTTCTATAATACTCTACAGGTTGTTATGGTGACTAACCCTCTATCTGACCCTGCAAGACAATTTTTTTCTAAAGCTGAAAAAAGAAAGCTCATTATCATCGGCATGGGGAAATTAACCAGCCAGAGGACTTGCATTTGAAAATATAACTGTTCACATGGTTATTAAAGTTGTTCTGAATTTAATTACAAAAATGGTATACCTGTATGTATATTGTAGTTTACCAGTACTTAGATGTGGTGGATGCATTAGTTATCTTTCTTTTCTGGCTTTTTTTTCATCTTGTGATCCTGCAAGTAACTTAGTTGGGGGGAAATATATGAAAACCGGAGCAGACAGAATTAGGAGCAGTTGCACATAGTAACCAATCAGCGTCTGTTTTCAATTTGTTCAATTAGGCTTTGAAAATAAGAGGATAAAAGCTGTCTGGTTGCCATGGGCATCTGCTCCAGATTGTTCTGCCCCAATTTTGATAAAGTCCCCTCTTTGTGTTCTAGGGTGATAACCCTTATTGACTGTACTGTATCTATAGAAGAGCAGTGTTGCCAAACTAGGACAGGTGTCTTCTACAGTACCTTCCCCTCTCTTTTATGGGAGGGGGGTATCCTGTAGACCACACATAGACCGGGAACAGTGCTAAATGATAACAATGCAGCAGAAGCAGAGAGCAAAGGAAGTTATCCATCAACTAGATTTCTGGAAGGATCACTGTCAATTGTATACAGAGATGTATCTACAACAAATTGCACCCCTGGCATCCCACCCAGCTTCTAGCAACCAGTGACCTCACTGGTTGCCAGGAGCAGGGCGGGACTTCAGCCAGAGCATCCCAGGTTGCTAAGAGTTGGGTGGGATGATATGTAAGGGCCATACATACGGCCGGCTCTTAGTAACCTGAGATGCGCTTGCTTAAGGCTATGGCATAAGATGGTAAGAAGTAGCTATTCGGAATACTTATTATATAAGCTCATCATGAGGGACGCATTCATGTGCTTTTACTTCAGTTTAACTTTTGGATGTAAGACATAAACTCTGTCCAGATTTACATTAGATCTTTCATTTTTTTAAGGTCACATTAACATTTTTCTTTTTCTACATTGTTGTAAAGTTGTCAAAACATCTCCCACCAAAATAAACCAAGTAATCTTTTAAATTAAAAATGTATTGAGTCTTGGAGGTTCTTCAATGGGGAACCAGACCATGGTAACTGAGACCAGTAATGGTAATATTCCCATAAGATTATATGTGCATTTCATGTATTTTATGCATGTTTTTTACCTGTAAAAGCCCCCCTTATGCAGACATCCAAAGGACCTCTGGGTGCCACCATCTTGAAAGTGATGTCAACAGTCCCAGCAGACTGAGGGCTGTCACTCAAGATAGTATTCCCCTTGACTCTTCCTCTGGCAGCTACATTGAAGGTTATCTAGGGAAGTGGAAGGAGATGCTGGGTCAGCACAGCGTGTAATTAAACCCTGGCTATTGTGCTATGGAATTGTCTCTTCTTGGAATATTCTAGCAATTTTGTAGCAAGTTGAAAGGCACATTGTAAATTAATAAAAAAAACATACTGAAAGGATTAGTTTCCTTTTTTAGGCTTTTTTTCCCTTTACCTAGTAATCCTGTGTATAAAATACTTCCAGTTACTGGGTGCCTAGGCTCACTCCTCCACTGTATCTATGGAGGGAGCCACAGTTTCTACCCAGGCTGGATGCATCTCCATGGGCTCTGTCCTCTACTAAGTCAGAATCAAAGCTCTCCAATCATCAGGATGAGCTTTGCTGATCGCAGAGCTGTAGGTCTGAAGCAGTGTGGGGCATGTCAGATCTCTGCAGTAAAATCACTGCTTCCACAGAATGGGCAAGGGTCCCTCTCTGCACCTGCTGGGAAGGGAAAAGCTTTTCTACACAGGATGTCACTACTTTAGAAAGAAAATGAACTGTAAGACATTAAACACCTTTTTGTTTGGATGCACCTGGAATGTATTTTGCTGATTTAAACTGAGGGTTTACATTTTTCTGATTGGGTTTATTTAAACTTTTAGACTTCACACTTTGCATTTTGGCCTTTTAGGCTACACACTTTACAAATCACCTGTTTAGAGGCTTCCGCTGTTCCCGTTCAAGTTAATGACTGAGTGACGGCAGTCCGCATTGTATGTGATACGAAAGCATGTAATTTGGAATAGATCAGTGTCCCTGGATGCATAATAGGAGCATGTGTCTGGGCCTGTCTGGCCTACACAGATACGCCGCTGAGCCAGACTAAGGTCTGAGAGAATTGGAGGTATGAAGGCACAGAGGTAGTCGGTGTTCGATCAGACCGGTGTGTCTGAGCCAAGCAAGTGCGAGTCTGGTGACTGAAGGAACCAGTTTAGACTGGGGTAGTCACAGCTGTGCAACAAAATAGACAGGGTCAGTTCACTGTAATGCTAAGCAACCCCTTAGTCAGCAGAACACTGTATTACTTTGACATGTGATTGAAAAAAAGTGCGCAAAAAAGCGTTGCTGAGTGGACTGAATTCTTGGAATACTCTCCATTTTAAGTAAATTCTCACAATAGAAAGGAAGGTTAAGGGTTATCTCCAATAATAGTGTAAAACTGCAACATCATACAGTATAGATTAATTGTAATTTTAGAAAATAAACACAATTTACAGTAAAAGCAGAGTTATTTTTATGTGTCTATGTGCCATCTACTCTGCTGGAATTTCAAGTAATATTAAAGTCAAAAGATTTTTAAGTTGTTTCAATTGCTGATGAAATCACTTACAATTGATGCTGCTTCTTAAAGTCTAAAAGTTTTAGAGGGTTACTGCCGAAGGCAGTCAAGTGAATAACCGATCCAAAGTGAACAGAGCCGAACAGCGCTCGGCTATTCACTTAGACTCTGAAAGGCTGATTCCAGCCCTACATCGGCTAAAATCATGCGTACATCAGCTGCCTTCGTCTGGCTCTGGTCAGCCGAACATGCTCTGCAACAACAACAAATAATCACACCATATAAAATCTCAGGTTTCCGGTCCTTGAAAGCACTATGAACCATAAAACAAATTTACATCTGCAGCCAAATTTTGTACCTGATGCCCCCAGCCGGAATACACAGCCTTGGGGATGTTATTAAGTGACTGCAGACCCACATTGGTCCCTTTTACCCGGTGAACTTCACCACATGGAGCACACCCACACCGAAGATGTGTCCACCCATTAATTTATCAAAAACCCCCGCAGAAAAAAATGCCTTCAAGGATCAAAACCGACAAGCAACTGCCGTGACTAGCCAATCCAACCCAAACATAAAACAACTCCAGGGTGGGTGGCATTGGGTGCAAGAGGTACCCGCCTCCCGTCTGCCGATCTCCAACTGGATCCGTGTGACTCCTCACAGACCTCCCTCCGAAGCTCCTCCTGGCCGACTTCTTTTGTTTAATCCGGTAAGTGCCCCGCCCCTACTTTACTTTTCTACCTTTCTTTAACCCCTTCCTGTCCTGGTTCCCCTTCCCATCCTTGTCATGTAGGCCTTCCGCTCATTCGCCCTCCGTTTCCTGACTCCAGGCCTATCTAAACTTTTCTTTTTTAGTTTTGAATAGGGAAGGGTTAACACCCCTATCAGGTTAATTTTTGCTGTATTTCTCCTGCTGGAGAGCTTTCTATTCACTTTCTGTCTTAGAGATGCAACAGGAAGTGAGAGGAAATCTCCCCAGAATTGTCCAGATGTGACACTGATCTTCGGGACAAACAGAGGGTGAATCTCTCGAGTGGACACACAGACCACAAGAAAAATTGGGCATAGGGTCTAACCCTTCCGTATTCTATCTAAAACTACACAAAAAAGTTTTGCATTTACATACACTTTAACATGTACTTTTCTTATGCAGAATACACTCTGTTTTTAGACCAAAATATGCTAATTTATGATCTATTTCCAGAGAACTCATTTTAGATATGAACACTATTGTTTTTTTTATCTCGTATTTTCTTGGATATAGTTTACTGGTTTCCTCCTATATTGTGCCAGTTGTAGTTCAGAAAGGGTTAAATACAAGTCAGCATTAGAAGTGCACTTAAGACGAACTTTGCTGGCTTCACAGGAATCCTCCCTCCATCACTCCTCACTGATAAACTATTGTTTTGTATGTTTCCTGTTTACATAGGGGATATTGTGAAGTCAGCACAGAAGGTGCTTCATTAGGTAGCTGTTGGAGGTATGACCTCCTCCTTATATACTGGAAAGAAAATCTGGAGAATCATTCAAGTCCATCATGACTGCGGCCTGGCTCTTGTCTGTTTTTGTGCTGGTGCTGGGTATCCCACATTATGGTGAGTGATATATAGATATATATATAAATAATAGGCAAGTGGGTTTTTCTTTGCATGCACAGTGCTTAAATGTGTATTAGGCAAATGTATGTTGCCATGCAAACAAAACTATTTGTTTTGCTCTTCTATGTTGTTATTAATATTACTAATACTATTATTATTATTGTTACTATGTATTACTATTACAAATACAAAGTATTGTTGTTATTATTATAATAATCAATTATTAATGATCATCAATATGATGATCACATTAGTAGCCGCATACAGAGAAAAGTGATAGTTAAATGTCACCATTTATCAGCTATTGGAAGCATTTCAAAACACCTTGGAGGGAATTATCCAAAACTGGAGCGGACAAAATCTGGAGCAGATTTGCACTGCAACCAAGTGCAAATCAATCAGCTTCTCTGTCTCATTTTAACATCTTACCTGAGCAAACTGAAGAGAGAAACTGATTGGTTTCCATGGGCAACTGCTCCAGATTCTTCTGCTCCGGTTTTAATAAATTCCCCCCTTGAGTTCATACAGATTAACGCTTTGACTATATGACTGCTACTATCTCCTAAACAGCATCATGAGCTGAAAGCTCCCCATTCCATACATGCCAAAGGAAGTTGTCACACTCTGCTGGGTTAGTGATACAAGTAGGCACCTCTATGCAGTGTCTGTCTACCAAATTGTAACACAGTACAGTATTTTCATGACAACCTTTAGATACAGGTTGATAGATGCATACACATGAGTCGTTAAAAGAGAACTATGGCGTGTTTTTCCCCATAGTTCTCTTTAGGGTCACGGGAGGACATACAGGTTACTAACCGCCTCCTATGACCCAAAGCTCCGTATATCGCGGGCTATTGCCCACTATATACTGAGAGCGCCGCAGCCGGGACGGATCCCGACAATACTGTCGAGATCCACCCAGCTGTGTGAGTGACAGCCGGCTCTGCGGGGAGACGATCGGGAAATGAGCCGATAAACTGCATGTTCCTGCTCACTTCCCGATTGATAGAGCCGACCTTTGACAGCTTCTTTGTCACAGGTTGTCTCTAACTATGAGGATGAGTGGAAATCACTCGCCTCATAGATCTCCTTTGAGTTTCTGTGGCAAGCATGATGCATTGTTGAATATAAAAAAAATATATATTCATGTGCAAAAGAATTCAAATGTAAAAAACAAAGGTGCGCAATTGAGGTAACCTAAAGATACCAATAGACATGTTTTTAGACACAGAGGGTGACAATATCATATTTATTATAAGCTCCCCAAAAACAATTAGGGAAATCTATCAAAACTGGAGCAAGCAGAAGCTGGAGCAGTTCTCCTTAGTAACCAATCGGCTTCTACCTTTCATTTTCAAAGCTTAACTGAAAAAACTGAAGAAGGAAGCTGATTGGTTGCCTCTTAAGTCCCCCCTATAAAGAGCTGCATTAATTACCGTGAAACAAAAATTCACATTGCTCATCATGCCACTCTATACACTATGCTGTACATTGCTCATCATGCCACTCTATACTCTATGCTGTACATTATATACTGCCCATCATGCCACTCTATATACTATGCTGTACATTATATACTGCAAATCATGCCACTCTATACACTATACTGCACATCATGCCACTCTATATATTATGCTGTACATTATATATTGTACAACATGCCACTCTATACACTATACTGCACATCATGCCACTCTATATATTATGCTGTACATTATATATTGCACATCATGCCACTCTATACACTATGCTGTAAATTATATATTGCACATCATGCCACTCTATATACTACACTGTACATTATATACTGCACATCATGCCACTCTATACACTATGCTGTACATTATATACTACATACTGCCCCACTGTATGCACACCTCTGTACAGTATATTCCCTGCTATTCTCTGTCTCCGACTCTCCAGCACCAGGCGAGATGTGTATTCATCTTTTCTATTTGCTGAATCAAACATTTTTTGCTAGTTATTTTCTATACAGTGCAGTCAGAGGGTTTCTGGGTGGGAACACATTCACTCTTTTTTGCAGGCTGTCATATTCTGCTATGTGTAGGACAGGCTGCAGTGAGCTCAAAAAAGGCCAGTGATTACACATGGCTTGTATTTCTAGCTGTCCTCCAGGAAAGGAAGATACTCCAAAGGGATTTAGCTTTGCAGGGCAGTCAGCTGAATTAACTGAGTAAATTAAAATGACATTCATTCGGCGGGAAGATTGTGCTTTTTGAGTCATGTTATTGCCACATTTTCATGTTTGAGCATATCTTTAAAAATGTGCATGTCATGAAATAAAACAGACTTACATCACATACTGACTTAACGGATAGTGTGCTGGAATTTTCCTTTTCTCGGTATGTAACTGGAAAATCTAATAGAAACAATCTTTAAATGGTTCCTAACTCATCTGTATTTCTTTTAGATTGCAGACCACGGGGTCGGATCTTAGGTGGGTCAGAGTCGGATCTGCACAACAGACCATACATGGTATCATTGCAGGTGAATAGCAGTCACTTATGCGGTGGCGCCTTACTCAACTCACAGTGGGTACTCAGTGCGGCACACTGCGCTTCTGACAAGTAGGTTGGCTTATAAAACTATACTATATAAATCTATCTATCTATCTATCTATCTATCTATCTATCTATCTATCTATCTATCTATCTATCTATCTATCTAATCTATCTATCTATCCCCTTACTTTCTGTTATAGAACATAGTAAATACAAATGGCAGTATAGTACAAGAACCCCCAAAATCACCCATTTTTGGAAAGTAGAAACTCCAAGATGATCATTTTTTGCCAAATTTTTGGGATCAAAGAGTTTCTTTGCAATGCCTCCTCAGGGTGAAGCATTTTGGGTTCCTTCTTGGATTTTTGGCAGTAAATCCCCTGAGTTTTCGCCGCTGTATCAGGCAGGGACATGCAGTCAGGGGGGGCGGGGGGCACGTGAGGCAGAGCCTCACCTAGAATTATGAAGGAAAAGCTGTCAGCTTCATGTCTGAAGCTGACAGCTTTTTCTTTATTCAGATCGGCACCTAAAAGGTTACACAGCAAGGAAATCCTCCCCGCTGTGTAACCTGTCAGGAGCCTCAGCGATGAGGAGCAAGTGAGGGACAGGGAAGCTCCTCCCTATCTCCTCCCTTCCTCCTTTACACAAGCTTGGAGACGGGTTGGGTGTGGGGCGTCTGCCGGTTGAGGGTGGAGCTTCAACCAGCAGGAGGTGGAGCTTCGGCCGGAGGGGTGGTGCTTCAGCTGGTGGGGGCGGGGCTGGGGAATGCCTCACCCCAAGCAAGAGGTACCGCATGTCACTGGTATCAGGGAGGGGTAAAATGTCTCCTACCAATTTCCTCCTCCTCACCGCCAATACCCCAGCCTGCCTCTTCTTGCCAAATGTTTTGGAAATTAAGAAACTTGCCAGTATTGCAGGGGATAAAACATGGAGCTTGGTAATGGTGCACTAGATGGGAAGATGGTGATGAGGGGGTTAATGTACACTTGTGTAGGATAAGGGAGGTGAAGGGGTTAATGTAGAGGTTAGATCAGAGACAGAATGGAGCTGACATATACAGGAGAAAAGAGGGGGTGAAGGGTTAAAAATGATCACAAACTTTTATTTGTTGCTGCTACTGCAGCTTGTTTTGATCAGGAACTAATGAATGGTTCATTCATTTACTGTATATGATGCATTAATTTATTAATACCTATACTCTCCCTTTCCTCTGTTGTAAAAGGAAGGGGAGGGCTTAGCAATGTAATCACTGCCATGTGATCGCAATGTTTGACCAATCACAATGATCATAAGGCACAGAGCTTGTCCGATTAGCTTTGTGCCTGTATCTTGTGACAGTGGAAGCAGTGATTTATGTGTGCACTGGATGCTGGCACAAAGTTAAACACGGAAGGATGTACTGGTACGTCCTCCCAGAATAACCACTCTACCTGCCAGCCTTTTTATACAGTGGTCGGCAGGGAAGTGGTTGATAACTTCGAAATTACTTTTTGGGGGAAAAAAGACTGAGAGAAGTGCTAAGTCACAGCAGCGTTCTCTAGTTAACAGAAAGTGTCATATACTATCATTGTTCTGTTCATGTCAGGTTCTGTGTATAAAAATAAATAATCATGTGTCACTTTCTTTACAGTCCTTACAATCATTTTACAGCCGTAATGGGGGCCAACTCTCTGTCAGACCCTAACAGAATAACTGTCAACATTGAGAAACAGTTCATTCATCCTCTGTACAATCAAGCTACCAAGGAACATGACCTCCTACTTTTGAAAGTAAGGGTGTTCATTCATATGACCTCTTTTCTCTTTTTTTACCTTGAATTTCCCATCTGTGGTTCTTCTTACATAGTTACATAGTTACATAGTATTTGAGGTTGAATAAAGACACAGGTCCATCAAGTCCAACCCATAGCGTGTATGTATGTGATTCTGTATGTGTATGCGTGTGTATGAGTCCCTGTGATCTTGTTTTTAAGGGTATCTGTACCCAGGGCCGGTGCAAGACTATTTTGCGCCCTAGGCAGGACTAGCTACTTGCACCCCCCCTGGCGCAACCCCAAATCCCCCGCCTCTTGCGCAGCCCCATTCTCCTGATGGTTAGCTTCTGCAGGCAACAGGTTGATGTAATTTAATTTGAAATAGCCAATAGCAGACTGGCCATTAAAACCCCACCCACTGAGCAGAGGAGCGAACCTGAGAGAGAAAGTTGTCTCTCAGTTACACTCCTCTGCTCAGTGGGCGGGTGCAATAGCCAGCCTGCTATTGGTTTTTGCCATTTAAAATAAACGGGCCAGGGGGGGTGAATGGTCAAGGCTGCGCCCTAGGTAGCAGTGCGCCCTAGGCGGCTGCCTAGCTGCTGCACCGGCCCTGTCTGTACCCCTGTATGTTACAGTCTCTGAGGAAATTGTCCAAATGCTTTTTGAATGATTCCGCAATCTCAGCTGATACCACTGCTTGTGGCAGTGAGTTCCAGACCCTAACCGCTCTAACTGAAAAGTACCCCTATGCTCTTTGTGGTTAAATCTTTTCTCCACCAATTTTAGGTGGTGGCCTCTAGTCTTTGTTATGGAGTTTACTGTAAAAAGTTTATTGCTGATGTTGCCATCACCACTAGACATCTTGTACATAAAAATCATGTCCCCTCGGAATCGCCTCACTTCTAGCGTGAACATGTTTAAATTTAGTAACCTTGTCTCATAGCTTTGGTCCTCCATTCCCTCAATTAGTTTAGTTGCCCTTCCCTGGACAGCATACCCCAGATGAGGCCGAACCAGTGATCTATAAAGTGGCAAATTATTGTTTTGTCTGTACAGTGCATTCCCTTTTTAATACAAGACAGTACTCTGCTTGCTTTGTTTGCCACAGCCTGGCATTGCATACTATTGTTCAATTTGTGGTCTACTATGACCCCTAAATCTTTTTCCATTTCTGACTTCCCTAGTGGAGTTCCCATTAATGTGTATTCCATTTGCATGTTTTTAACCCCAAAGTGCATTACTTTGCATTTATCGACATTAAACCTCATCTGCCATATAGTTGCCCACTCCCCTATTTTATCCAGTTCCTCCTGTAATGTTCTACTGTCTAAGTCCGTGTCTATTACCCTCCCAATTTTAGTATCATCAGCAAACAAAGAAGCATGGCTATTCACGCCCTCCCCGATATCGTTAATAAACAGTTTGAATAGGTTGGGGCCTAGCACAGAACCCTGGGGCACGCCACTCATGACCTTAGAACAATCTGACAAAGAACCATTTATCGATACTCTCTGGACACTTTCCTGTAGCCAATTCTCTATCCATGTGCACAACATTTCATCTATGCCCATAGACCTCAGCTTGTGCACTAAGAGTTTATGTGGTACCATGCCAAACGCTTTAGAAAAATCCAGATACACCACATCCACCGGCCTCCCTCCATCCAGATCTCTACTTACCTCTTCGTAGAATGTTAGTAGGTTGGTCTGACAGGAACGGTCCTTCCTAAATCCATGCTGATTGTCATTTATTATACAATTTTCTTGAACAAACTCTACTAAGTAGTCCTTTATAGTTCCCTCTAACAGTTTGCATACTATGGATGTAAGACTAACTGGTCTGTAGTTCCCAGTTTGGCATCTTGACCCTTTTTGAATATCGGTACTACCGTAGCTTTCCGCCAGTCACTTGGTACTCTACCCGTCATTAAGGAGTCCTTGAAAATAAGAAATAACGGTCTTGCTATAACCTGGCTGAGTTATTTAAGTATCTTGGGGTTATCTGGTCCTAATGCTTTATTTGCATTAAGTTTTTCAAATCTGTGTTGAACCCCGGCTACCGTCAACCACTGTGGTATATTTTGCAATGAGCTACTTGCATTCTTACCTACATTATACACGTCTTTTTCCTGAGTGTATACTGAGGTGAAAAAAGAATTTAACACCTCGGCCCTCTCCCTATCGTTGGTGATTAATCTCCCATTCTCATCTTTTATGGGGCCTATCTGCTCTTTCTTTACCCTTTTACTGTTTATGTATTGGTAGAATTTCTTTGGGTTCCTTTTACTGATTTCGGCGATATGCCTTTCACAGTCTATTTTAGCTGCCAGAATTTCATGTTTACATCTTTTATTACATTTTTTGTAATTCCTGAATGCCAATGCAGTCCCTCCCATCTTATATTTTTTAAATGCCACGCTCTTGTCCTTGATGTGCTGCTTCACCATTTTATTTAGCCATGCAGACTTAGTTATTGATCTTTTATTTTTGTTACCCAATGGCATGCACTTGGTAATAGCTGTATGTACTGTATTCTTAAAATAATCCCACTTCTCATCAGTGTTCAGTGTTAGAAATAAGTTGTCCCATTTGGTTTTGCATACTATCTGGCGCAGGTTATCAAAGTTTGCCTTTCTGAAGTTTAGTGTTCTTGTCCGACCAGCACCCTTCTCTTTTCTGTACCCAATATTAAAAGTAATCACCTTGTGATCACTATTACCCAATGTGTCCCTAATCGCTATGTCTGCATCTAAGTCCGCATTATTGGAAATTATTAAATCTAGTATTGCATTTTTCATAGTTGGAACCTCAACCATTTGATACATGAAATTGTCCCATAACAGGTTCAGAAAGTGGCCCGCCTTTATCGAATGAGAGGTTCCATTAGACCAATCTATGTCCGGATAATTTAGGTCACCAATTCTTGTCCATGTCACTGATGTTTCCTGAACTACATGTTCCAGCTGCTTTCAACTTAACATATGGGCATTCTGTCCTGTTTAAAAAAAAAAACCCGAAACAACATTACTGCAGGTGCAACATGAATTAGCCCATACTTGTGATGTCATTTAATGGTCAGAGGATTTATTGGGTGGGGCAGCCTAGAGTACATAGTGATTGGCTCCACCCACTTTTTACATAGAATACATAGGGAGCCACGTAAGCTTAGCTGCTGAAAGAAAGAATTTAAGTGCTTCTGCTGTAAACACTGAGGATGAATTGATCCACAGTGTCTGCAGCTTCAGAGATTAGTCAAGGCCCATTTTAAAGCTTATTTATTGCTTGTTTGTATCATATAAATATTTATAAATCTGTAACTTGGCCACAAGTTCACTTTAAAGTGTATTTCCAGTTTTGCAGTAATGTCTGAGACAACCCCTCCATATGTTTGTTATGTGTTCCAATTCACACAGCATAGCGAAAGATAATTTTCAAAAGGAAACTATGGCCCAACCTTTTTGTGCCATAGCTCTATTTAGGGTCACAGGAGGGCATATACTAATGTCCTCCTGTGACCCAATACTCAGCATATAGCGGGCTATTGCTGCTATATGATCGTCACCAAAGCAATCAAACATTTTCTGTCAAAGCAACCAACCACCAATAATGTACTTCCTGGCCTCTGAACTTAGGTCAGATGGGTTAGAATGGCCAATAATAATATATGCAATAATATTCAGTGGAGCTTTCTTGTGCCAGCCCCTCGCTATAAGGCAGGGTTCCCTGCAGCCATATTGACAATGTGCATTGCTGGAAATATTAGGGACAGATTAGCGTAGGGCTTGTAGACACTGGTGTCGTAAAGTATATTTCCACTTTTGGAGTCAAAATTGGAAAACCCCTCTATATGTTTGTTATGTGTTCCCATTCACACAGCATATCTAAAAAATAATTAAAACAAATATATTTCTTACCTTTTAGATGTCTGTATGTAGCAGGCCTTTGCAAGCTTCTTTCTCAATTTCAGTAACAGTATACCCTGAAAGACTAGGGACACACTGAGCTCCCCCTCATTAACAACTTGAAGACCGGGGTGTTAAACCCCCTTCCTGGCCAGGCCATTTTTCAGTATTCAGAGCTGCGATACTTTGACATTTATTCAGTCATGCAACACTGTACATTAATTTTATATCATTTTTTGGTACAAAGAAAAAAGTACTGAAAATTTTGAAAAATAACTGTTTTCCCTATGTTATGGAACATTGCAAATAAATACATTAAGGCCAGAACATATTCTTGCTGTGTGGCGCAATCTTTTTCGCAGGTAGGCACACCAGGCGCATGTGCGTGTACATGGGAGCAGGGGATTTTAAAAAAGATTGTGTTTTTTTTTTTTACATGTTACTTTTTTTTTTTTACACTTAACTTTATTGGTATTACATAGGAGGCTAACAAGCAGCTTGGTACCTACCACTATGGTGTGGCTATAGCAAAAAAGGAAGCATTAGCAGTACAATTCAAAATATGGCTGCTATGTGCCCTGGAGGAAAAGGAAGAGCGGGGGAGGAGTGCATTAACAGCACTTGCAGGCTAGTGGCTGCTCTGCACCTGGGAGAAATACCTCCTGAACCATTCATTCATGGGGTGAAAAAAATTTAGCTCCCCAGAGCCTCTCCACATTGCCTCTCTTATATGTACAAACTAAAAAAAAAAAAGATATAAGTCCGTGTCTATTACCCTCCCAATTTTAGTATCATCAGCAAACAAAGAAGCATGGCTATTCACGCCCTCCCCGATATCGTTAATAAACAGTTTGAATAGGTTGGGGCCTAGCACAGAACCCTGGGGCACGCCACTCATGACCTTAGAACAATCTGACAAAGAACCATTTATCGATACTCTCTGGACACTTTCCTGTAGCCAATTCTCTATCCATGTGCACAACATTTCATCTATGCCCATAGACCTCAGCTTGTGCACTAAGAGTTTATGTGGTACCATGCCAAACGCTTTAGAAAAATCCAGATACACCACATCCACCGGCCTCCCTCCATCCAGATCTCTACTTACCTCTTCG